GATGGACTAAGATAAGTATTCTAAATCATCCCTTTATCCCCGAGAGTAATGTGGGAAGAAAACATGGAGCGTTTCCGCATCGTGATTATTTTATATCTTTAGAAATAACCATGGAGGACTGACAAAAGCATAAGATATACTTGACCGTCTGGAGTCGATCAAAATGTGAAATCACAGTATTACCGTTAATAATAATAATAATATTTAATACTTATATTGCGCTTTTTCTATAAAAATACTCAAAGCGTATTAATTATTAAACCCGGTAAAATTACAATATTTACAGTATAAAAATTTACAGAGTATTAGTAAAACATAGAATCTTTTAAAAATCACAATATTAAATAAAATAAATAAATAATGTAACTAAAAGCCTTTTTAAATAAATACGTTTTAACAGAGCGTTTGAAGGAGTTGGTTGATGTTTCCTGTCTTAATGGCAGGGGAAGACTGTTCCATAAGAGGGGGGCAGCTATTGAAAACGCGCGATCTCCCATAGTCTTCTTCGTTCTTAGCCGAGGTCTTTCTAACAATATACCATTATTCGTATATGTGCACGATCCTTCGCATTAAAGCACTATTTAAGCAATAGTGAAAATCAGACCTGAAAAAAATTCAGGCCTGTACGGGATTCGAACCACTGACCTCTGCGATACTAGTGCAGCGCTCTACCAATTGAGCTAACAAGCCAACTGGGAGCAGGCCATCAAATTAATTCGACATAAACCCGTAGATGATAAATCAAACAACAACAAACATATGAAACATATGTATGAACTGCGGTTATGAAACGTATATATANATCTTCAAATAAGTTTCCTTCGGTTGTTTGTAAACTGCTGATGCAGTGCAGCCAAAGTCCCCCGAAAAGTGTTGTGATGTGCATTTGATCATATCCACATGTTAATTTGCGCAATATAAATATGAAATTATTGTATTAAATATGAAATTATTGTAATATAAATAAAAATAACTCGACTGGTGTTTAACTTAAGGCCAAAAGCCAAACAAAAGCCAAACCAAAGCGAGAGTCATACAGCACTAACACTGCTGTAAAGTCCCAATTTAAGTAGAAGTGCTGCACTAGTATCGCAGAGGTTTTTTTCTAGGTAACTGCCGCAATTTGAAGTTTACCAGTTTTCCTAAACTTGACTACCGACTCGAGAATCACACGGTTCGAGGTCCCAATTTAAGTAGAAGCGCTGCACTAATATCGCAGAGGTCAGTGGTTCGAATCCCGTACAGGCCTGAATTTTTTTTTTTTTTTTCAGGTCTGATTTTCACTATTGCTTAAATAGTACTTTACTGCGAAGGATCGTGCACATATACGTTTCATAACCGCAGTTCATATATATGTATTTCATATATATTTGTTGTTTAATATACCATTATTGTTATGGCGTTGTTGATAATGTGATTCCGGCAAGACAGAGACTAGATCCTTAAGATAGCTTGGCGCCACACCGTGAAGTATCTTAAATGTGACAAGGAGAATCTTAGAATCTACACGCAAGCGCACTCGTAACCAGTGGAGTTCTCTTAGCAAAGGAGTAATGTGACAATACTTAGGTGCGCAGTAAACTAATCGAGCACTGGCATTCATGACTCTTTGAAGTTTCTTAATTTGATACTCAGGAGCACCGTACAATAAACCATTGCAGTAATCAAGCCTGCTTGTGATAAACGCGTGAACAAGCCTCTCGGTGGACTCACGAGACAGATACTTCCTGATGTGCCGGATATTGTACAGATAATAAAACGCGCCAGCGCAAGCCTTAGTCACATGAGTCGACATGTCCAGATGAGAATCGAACCAGGTGCACAAATTACGCACCGAAGAGACGGGCGATTCCTCAGCTTGGCCAATCCTGATCTTGTCAACGGACACCTTCGATAACTGTCTGTCTGTGCCAATGATCAAGAACTCAGTTTTGTCGTCGTTTAGCATCAACTTATCATCTCTCATCCATGCGCGAACATCGCGAATACAGTTTTCAATCGCTATCACAGCATCAGCCTCACTGGTCTTATCAACGGGATTAAACGATATATAAAGTTGAGGAAAATAGCATCGTTTGATATATTGGCTAAACATTGTGCTTGTAAATGAAGGGATATGAAGTGGAACGACGTAGCAAAAAAGAAAATTGCCCATTAAAGTGCTACTGAGACCAGTTTAGCGTTTGCCAGGCTACTTACCACCCCCACGAAATTTGGAATGAAAGTTCGAAGTGGAAGTCTGTTTGTTTTAGACTTTTTTTCCTCGATTCAACTCCGCCATTACTCAAACCACGAAATGGCCGCGCGTAAGTCTGTTACGTCATATTATGCTCAAAATTTTCGCGCACGCTCGTAGTCGAGAAATGGACGGAGATTACTGTACTTTAAAGGATTTAGGAGGGACTAATCGTCATTTTAAGGCCGGAAATGCCACCCTAGAGTTGTGCTGTGCAGGATTGAGCAATTATTCTTTAATAAAAATGCTGAAATATCGCTACACAGGCCAAACGAAAAAGTTACGAAAGCTAATGGATGGCATTCCTCCGCCCACATCGCACCTCCACCCGAAAGAAGTATCTCTGTAGATTGGGCCCAAAAAAGGATTGCCCCCGGTGCCATTCTTAGAATATGGAAAGTAATTTTCAGCTAGCTATATCTCCAAAAAGGCGCCAAAGGGCGAGTGTTGTCACATCGTAATAGTTTCCTTCTTTCCCACCTCACGTTTCTAAACCCTGAGAATATGCAACGATTGAACTTTTCGTGAGTCAAATTTGTTTTGATTTTCTTTGTTATCGATGTATTCATTCCTTAAGACTCGTGATCCTCCATGTAAGATTTAAACACGAACAATTTGTTTTGCTGAAAAAAATTATTACCTTTCCTTAAAAAATTGCATAAATGTAGCAATATTAGCTCCAATCTATGAATATCAATAGCTCTATGTTGCTCTAGGAGTATGAAAAATTTTCTACATCCCTAACTTCTGTCTCTACAATTAAGAAGAGAAGCCTTTTACTTACTAACATTTACTGCTCTTGTAAGAACCTTAACGATCTTGAACTAAAGTTAAATCGTGAGCTAAAAGCAGTTGCAGAGTGGATGATATCTAACAGATTCGCACTTAGTATTCTCAAAACAAATTTATTCTTTTTCATTCAAAAAAATTGAAACCATACAAGTCATTTAATGTAATGATTTACGGTGTGAATATCCAACAAGTTTCCACAATAAAATATCTAGGTGTTACCTTTGGCTCAAATCTAAGATGGAAGAATCACATTGATGAGCTTTGCCTAAAACTTTCAAAAACTGTAGGAATCTTCTAAAAATTGAGGTACTATGTTGGCATTGATACACTTCATATGCTTTATTTTTCGCTAATCTGCCTCTGTGATTACTTTGCAAAAGTGTATACTCAGAATTATGAAATTTTCTGAACCAGTATTACAGTCAGAACCACTGCTGAAATCTCTCCACGTCTCAAAATTCTCTGATATAATTCATCTTGAGATTCTTTCTTTTGTTTATCAGTGGTCCCATAAAATAACTCTTTCCTGTTTTACTAATTACTTTAAGCCAATATTTTCTGTTCATTCGCATTATACACGTCAGTCATTAAATGACAACCTGTTTTTAAACCCAGTACAAACAACTCAATATGAGTCAAAGGCCTCCATAGAATTGAAGGGACTCTTTTGAACATCATTGTTTTTGCTCATGGAAGACTCGCACGGTCTTGAAATCTCACAATATTGTCATGAACAAAGTTATTTGTGGTAGGATGAAAGCAACCAAACGCAATTAGCTCCTTCACTTATCCGCGAAAATTCATAGTTTTGTTTCGCTCGTGAAGGCAGCAGTTCTTAAATTGTTAACTAATCAAGTTTTCAACGGATCCAATATTAGGGAAGAAAAAATAAACCGCGTATGAATTTTACTTGCTCAGAGGTTCCTTTGAGAAGGGTACAATATCAAAAGCACTACGTACAGTGCTGCTGCGCAAGAAAAACCGGGAAAATGATTACTCTGGAAAACTGAACTTTAACGGCCCTTATGTGGCATCGGATCGTAAACAATCGAAGCGATTGACGGTGTTGGATTTGTGACAGAACTCATGCTTTTTTGTTCATTGGAGGAGTCGCATGAAAGCAACGCTGCTGAGAATAAACTTTGAAAATCAGTATTTAAGGTGAAAAAATCGCATATTGAGGACGAATATTGGTTTAAAGAACTGCAGTGAATCCCGAGGTGTTTTCGGTCTCTCCTTGTGAGAATGCTCGGGAATTCTCAAGTTAGGGCCTGGTAACTATGACAGTGTATAAACCTAAAGGAGTGAGTGTGTGTGTGAGTGAGTGAGTGTGTGATTCGTTTGCACACTGGACTCATTTACCTACTGGACTTTCTACGAAGGGAATAGAATCTACAACCTTCCAATTTTACTTTCTGTTGCTCCACCACTGAGCGAAAAAAATTGCTTCTAGTTAAAGTTAGTAGACAGCATACAGGGACGACTTTTTGTCTGTTTCCTTGGATCCGCTCTTACTGTACACGGAGGTATGCCACGGTAATAATCAAATTTGAACGCCAAATTTCTTTAAAGATTGAAGTCATTATTAATTCCTTTATCACTTGCTAAATAGCGTAAAGTAGATAAGAAAGATGGCAAATTATAAGTTTAGTAATGAAATGAAGAAAGGTGTTCTTCGTTTTCTCGCGAATGAGAGGAACAAATTTTGAGTCCTCATAAGAAATGGAATCTGAGGCCTTTATTAAATGATGGTTTTAGTCGTGCATCACCCTTAGGGAAATCTTCAGCTCTATTGGGTTTGTCTTTCTCAATCAAATTAATTAACATCTCCCCAAAAATGTCATAATAGTGTGTACCATGGATGCTAAAAACCGTGGTTGGTTCTTTCTGTTCATGTGCAAGCCAATGATCCGGGATTATTTCGTAAGCTCCCCTTTTTCAAACCCCATGGTACAGTTTTATGTTGCATTCCTATCTCAATAAAAAACTTTATTACAGCTTTATCATAGCCCCATGCAATGAAAACTGTTGGTTACGTTCGAAGACTGCGGTCTACGTTTGAAAATCGCAAATCCATGTTTGAAAACAGTTGGACTTTTTTTGAAAAACTGTTATTCCACTTTTGGAAAAAGTTGGTCTACATTTGAAAAGTATTCGTTAAACTCTCTGTTACAATGGCTTCTGTTAATTTTTGTATTTGCGTCTTTTAAAGGCGTCAGTCGACTACAGAGTAAAAAAAAGCACAATTTATTATCTTGCTCCTGCTTCACAGATATGTCATATTGTTTGAGGAATCATGGATGTTTGACTGATTGCTTTTGTTGACAACATCGTCGTTCTGCAGCTCACTCGTCAAACTAACCTTAGCCTTGGGGCATCCAAGAATTTCCCTTAGTTTCTGTCTGAAGTTGTGGTTCATCAGGGCATATACGAAAGGGTTGACAGCAGAATTAAACAATACCATCATATTGGAGATGGCAACCACAAAATGATTCAATCGATATGACGTAAAAAGGTGCAAGGTGTACAGGAGCTGGATGGTGCCCCAACAGATTCCAAATATGGTACTGATAACCACAGCCATTAAGGTCACCCGCTTGCGGATTCTCATTATGCCCTGAGGTTTGAATAGCGGATGACATGAGAAAAAAAACACATGTGGTCAAATTACTGAAAGTCATCGCTTCTAAAGTCGGGAAGGGTTTTTCCAATGTACTTTCATGTCTCAAATGTTTTATCGTTTATTGATATAAACCTTAGTTATAAAAGTACCAAAGTTTTCGAATCAAGCTTTGAGATCTGCTTTGGATCTACCGCATTTCGTAATTTAATCGTCTTTATACCCCATCTATTTCATCTGCTTAAAATCACCCTTGAGATCTGATTGGCTCTCAGCGCTGTGATTTATTCACGAATCGCACCACTTTCTGTCCTAAATCGTACCTTTTTCCCGGCTAACGAAACTAAGATAAACCCACTAAAACAAAACAACCAATAATAAATAGATTACAGTCTTCAGTCGATTAAACCGCAAGAAAATGGAAGACAAAGAGGTTATTATGTTGTAGATTTTCTACTTTTTCTCCCCAAAAAATAACTAAGATCCTGTACTTGGGTGATTTCAAAATTGATGAAATAAAGTGGTAATCCTCATCGTGTCAAGGTATTCTAATCTGAAGTCATAATCGTGATTTAAAAACAGTTGTAAGACAAAATTTCTCGGCTCCCTTCAGATTAATTTATCACATCGTTACGCATTATTTTGTAAACGCTTACTTTTTGCTGAAATGTACCTGTCGCCGGATTAGTACTACCTCGATTGAACCATAGGGCAAAAACGACTCTCGAGTACAGCACGACCATCAGCAATAAGGCAATGGTTACGTTCGAGGTAACAAATAAAGAAAAAGCCTTGATCTTCCAATCGTCAGGCCACATTTCATAGCATAAACCGTTGGCGACGTTCATGTAAGAGATATTGGGGATGTTGCACGTCACCGCGATAATCCAGGAGGCAGTTATTATCACCTAAAAATGAGAGATAACCTAAGTAATTCTGTTGTTATCGTCATCATCAAGGTATTCGTCATCGTCATCGCGATCATTATTGCTATCGTTATCGATTTTCGAAATTACTAGTTCGTGAAGGATCACTGGTGACAAACCTTCAGTTTGTGATTGTTGAGTGTCCATCTTTTACCACGTGGGTAAATTACTGCATAATATCTTTCCACAGCGATTGCAACCAGAGTATAAATCGAACAAAATGCTGCAACCCATGCGAAGCCTCCACCAGTTACCAACTTGCACAAAACTGAACCAATCCAACCTCCTGGGTGTCTTATATTGACGCTCACAATTAGTTTGGGTGCAATCAACGCCGCGAAGAGGGCATCCCCCACAGCAAGGTTGAGAATAAGGATATTTATGGGCGTCCTGTGTTATTCAAAATGTATGCACTTAGATAAGTAATTGCATGATATCCTTAATTATCCCTTCAAATAAGGGGGTTTATTTCTTAAGAAACTGTGGTATTGTGTCGGTGGGGGAGTATAACAAGGTAATTTGGTTTTATCAACTGAGTTTATAATCTACATTGTCCACCGTAAAGAGTTGATATGGTTGACGTTTCGAATGTTAGTTCTTCGTCAGAGCCCTTCAAATCCTAGAGACAAAACATAGAGCATGACGGCGGCCAAACCAATACCTTTCAGAGGAGTCACCCTTTTTCCCCGTTGGTTTTTGTTTGTTGTGCAGATCATTTTTTCATGGAAAACAGATCCAAAGGCTACATGCAAATTGAGATAAGATTTTTCTCTATTTGAATTTGATAAGAAGGTAGAATCTGATTCAGCTGACGTTTCCAACTGTATAAAACGTTAAAAAACTTTAGGGGATTGATGTGGGAAAACGATGGGATTTACGCGTTTTGACAAACTAAATGCGTTCGATGGTCAAAAGTGATCCATCTTGATATAGGTCCTTTAACAGTTGAGGGTTAATTTTTTCGCAAAAACAGTTTTTTCACGAGTATTCGACTCAGTAAATCTAGTTCTAAAGGGATAGAGTTTCGAAAGTCCTTTAGAAAGAAATGATAACCGAAAAATCTTTAATTTCGTTCCAAATCCTAACTACACCTGGCACTAATAAGCAGATTGTCTCTATATTATGAATGATATATTTATTTTGCTTCCTTAAAAGCTAAACAATTTTCTTTGGCTTGAGGGTGAACTATTTACTTAGTTGGATAAAGTTGCCAATCAAAGTGAAGATTTTAATTTACATTGCAAGTAGCACAAAACGGAAATACAAATTTTCGAACACACGATTGATCCTGAAGGATTACAAGAAAGTACTTGAAACAACCATAAAAGGGAAGCATGCAATGTACCACACGTCGAAAGTGTTGGCGAATTAATGAATTAGCTTAGATTAGACCTCACTTTTGTCGACAAAAAATGTTCCCCCGAAGAGGTTAACCTGGGTGCAGATTGTAAGTATACCTGAGATTTCTATTTTTCCATATCATCGCACAAACGAGCGAATTTCCAATGATATCTACCAAAACGAGTAGGAGCAGTACTGTTGTTATGGCAAAAGCAGTAGACATCCTGAATTAGAAAGTGTTATCATGTAACCTACATGGGAACAAAAAAGACAGAAGGTTAACTTACATTGCTAAGAAGAGGTGTAAGACCACAGATATCTAAGTAAGAGAAGGAACTGTAGTAAATAATTTTCCTAAAGATCTTGTTAACAATTTCATTATTCAAGAATGAGCGTAAAATTTCAGTCTTAGCATTCTTACCAGATTGGCAATTATTTGAGCAAGTAGAGAGGACTTTTTTCCTTGATTTCTGGCCTTAAAAAGTGTTTAAATAACTTGCATATTATATAATATATGCTTAAACGTGTTGAATTCCCAGTTTTAAAGTGAGCAATCAAATTTTCAGAAAAGAAAACAATGGCTCAGTTTTATGTTGACTAAACCTTGGATTATATTGAGTTTAAATTAAATGTGACGAAACAAAGTGAATCGAAGATTCAAAATGTTAATAGCTAGAGAAAAATACAAATAACTGAGAAAATATAAAATTTTAAAAATATTAAAAATATTGAAAAATTTAAAACAAAAATATCAAGAAATTTCAATAAAAAAAATAAAAAAATATATCAATAGCTCAAGAGCAAGAATTAAAACCTTAGCCATAGTAATACCCTCTTATGCCTAAAAATACCGTGGGAGTTTCTTTAGACGACGCAAGAGAAGAGATTTGTTAAACGATTCGATTTTATCGCAATTATTTAGAATTTCTTTAGCTTTTGAAAATTCAAATAATGCGTGGGTATTACTATACTCACTTTGCCGCAACATCCGCTGCGGTGAAAAGTCTTATAATCATTTGTGCTCACTTCTGGTTAGAATCTATTTCGAATATTTAGTTCCTATATAATTACATATGACGTGAAAATGGCCTCAGAGTCACTTTCTTGAGGCTCAAAACCCTCTAAGAAATAAAAGGGACACTTTTCAATATGATTATGTTTCTCACGGAAAACTCATTTTCCATAAAGACCATAAAGGTTCCTGCTTGAAGTTGCGAAAGCTCTGATCTCTTGTCAGTGTGAGAAGTAAAGTTACTCTATGTTGCTCTTTTTGAAGCTTCCTAACCTGGCACTTTAAGACTGTTCTAGCCGAATTCTCGTTTTAAGTCCGATGTCTGATAAGTCTTTTTAAGATAGAATCGCTGTAGCTTACCGTAAAGATATTCGACATAGCAGTAACTTAGCGAGCAAACCTTCTCAACAACATTAACACGGGTGCTTTAACGAAGCATGGAAAATTGAATTAACCTTCAGCGGTAATTATAAGCAGCTGCTCAAATAGATGAAATCAAATTCTTCTCGGCTTTCAAGCAAATTCAATTAATTCATTTCACACAACGCGGAGGGCTTTCACAACCTTGGTTTCTAGAGCCACTCTTAAAGTTCTGTTACTGCGAGGAACCAATATTTCCGAGTGAGGCCATTTAAAGTATACCTTTTTCATCAAGATCAGGGCGGATGTCGGCCTTCCATGCATTATGTTTGACCAAAAGACACAATTCACTCGGAATATGTTTGTTTGTACTTGTAGCAACAAGATCCCCTGTAGATACTGATGCCTTAGGGAAAAAAAAAATACCCATTGTAATTAGAGAGAGCGTCAGAGCGAATTAGGTCCATTCGCTCTGACGAAGGGCTAACGCTCGAAACGTCAGCTTTTTAACTCTTTACGGTGGCCAATTTACAATTTCAACTTAGTTGATATCATCAAATTACCTTGTTACCCCCACCGACGCAGCACCACAGTTTCTTTAGAAACTAACACCCTTTATTCACCCATTATAATTGTTGAGACATTAACGAAGCAAGCCAAGGACTGTGAGAGGCAAGATTACTTGGTTTTATCAACTGAGTTGATGATGTAAATCCTTCTACGTGAACTGACTTTAGTGGCTAGCTCCAAATCCTTACAGCTGCTTTAGCCTCTAGTAATGATCAAACTTTCCTCTCAAAAAATTGCCTCCTGATTATGAGTAATTTCCCTATTAATTCAAAGAAATACCTCCTTTGGTGAGCCGTAAAAGATTTGATAACTAACATCAATATCTGGTCACTAAAGGCAAACTTGAGCGACAACTCCAAGTGCATTTGAATTTCATCTTCCTCGAAAGTTAACACACGATCAAATTTGAAAAGTTCGAAAACGTTTTTGATAACCGAGAAAGAATAACGACGTCTCTATAGAGTGGCGCATTCTATCTAAGCTGCGTGGATCAAAGAAGAAAGATTTCCTGTCCATTTGCTCTAAGTTCCGTCGGTTGTCACCTCATCATCCGGACAAATTAGCTAAATGGAAAGCGTTCCAAGTGTTTCCTTGAATGGATATCGTTAATCAATGCAAAAAAATATGTAGAACTCACGCTCGCCAGCTCTATTAGAACATAAATTGTATAATAAAGAACTTAAACTTTGTTCATTTCTTGCTATCAAATGTGTTAGTAGATAATAATGGCTTCTGGTTGCTCAAACTGAATATTTGACTGTTTATAAATGGTAGAAATTATGCTATGTTGTTGCTGTCAAGGGGATTCTGGTGGTGAATTTGTTTCACAATTGACTGTGAAGATGTGCCCATGGGTAAGGAATTTGATGTCAATTCCGCTCCTCCTGCCAATTCAACCTAACGTCCATAAGTGCATTTAAGTGTGGTAACTAAAGCCAGGGAATGTTTTTTCCATCAGCATGTTAAGGTTAAATTTAAAATCCTCTATTATTTTACAACGTGAACATAACACACGTAAAGGAAAATGATTTCTTGACCAACAAACCTGATACCTGTCAAAAACTGCAGGTCATGCAAGCCTCAAGCATTCTACCTTTGGGTGACACTTCTTAAAAATGGGTGATTGGGAAAAAAAGAATGAAGCCAGTAGAATTCGACGCCTTGTACACATTTGGCTGACAAAAATTCCGGTAGCAACCAAGATGAATACTAAAAGATCAACTTACTAACTGTACCGGTGCTATTTTGTTTCGAACATGCAGTGTAATGTTCTCTTAAAGCATTCACGTCCAGTGAATGCGCGTGAGGGGTTTTCCAGAAGAAAATTTTCTTGAATGGGTCTCACAAATATCTTCCCTTGGGCGATGAATGAAATAAGGTATTTCATTGCGAGTCCGTTTGGTCCAGGGGAAATAATTCTCAAATCTCTCTTCCCTGGTTCTTCATACATCAGTTCAAAACCCCCTGCATCTATCAACTTTGGGAAGATTTCTATGAAAATGTCTCGAATTTCCATTTCATTCGATTCCTCGGGCACAGAAATCTTCACTTCCCCGAAACCGGCCATCAGCAATTTTCTCTGTTCTTCTGCATGTGGGGTTTCCGATTGATCCTTGTCACTCAAACAGAGAAATTTACGTGATTATTTTAATCCTTTTTAACTTACCCTCCGATACCTTAGCCTTTCGCTTTTTACCCCTTCGCGAGTTATTCAACGTTGCATTTAGGCGACTACCGGTATTGCTCGGCTGATAAAAATGATATGGAAATAACGATTTCAGTTCCATTTCCACCCTTGAAGAGCCAGCAGCTGTCAGTTCCACTACTACTGGAGAGTTTTGAATACTTTCAACAGTGGTCATGGCTTGTGTCGTAAGCCTTTCGGCGGCCCCTGACAGCATCCTCGCCACATTTGCAAGGTCGTCCGTCACGTTCACGGAAGGGTGAAATGAACGCGGGAAATGACTAGTTACCAAGTTTTGCTCCATAAACAGGGCTTGGTTAGTCCCCAAACTGCTGCATCATATTTTTTAAAGAGCACCATTTACAAAAGTAAAGACGTCATTTGAGAAGATTCTTAACACCATTTTAAAAAACAGAGGCAGCATTTACAATACTATCGGCACCATTTATAAAATTTAGGCACCATATGAAAGAACGAAGGCCGCATTTACAGAAATGTAAGTACCATTTACGAAAATGCAAGCACTATTTACGAAAAAACAGAGGGCCTGAATTGTGGCGGGTGTGGCACCTCATACTGGGGATGCCACTTAGTAATGAGTAGAGAATAAGATACCTTACTCAAACATTCCTGATATGATTGGCTCACATCTATTGTCTAAGCTACCCGTTACGAATACGCCTACGTTTAATCCAAGCACGTTTTATATGAAGGGAGGGCCTGGCGAGGAGGAGGATGACTCTACTTACTTGAGAGAGAAGAGGTCAACTATATAAAAAGTTCGTGTCAAGATTTTGGCTTATCCTTCTTGGTGGGTCAAGTTTAAGGTGGCCAGATTAACTATCACATTTCCGCTTAGTTTACATATGGCTTTTAATTTTCGACCAGGCAATTCGCACAGGAGCCCAAATACGTCTAACTGTTTCTCAAATGTATCGAAGAGCACAAGAAGGAGCGCGATCTCGTCAGGTTTCTGCATCTTGTTAAACTCTGATGATTCCCCTAACTCTAGGCCTCGAAAATAGCATCTTAATATCGTCGGTGAGCCCAATTGTAAGTCGTTCGTGACAGCCAAAATGACATTTTCAAGGCGAGGTCTTTGGAAACAAATGCATTTTAATTTTCATGGTTTAACCTACTCATCCTTTAATGGGCAAAAATATGTATGAATCCATCACCGCACAACATTCCTTTGTCTTTTTTTACAACACCGTCTTCAAAGGACGCATCAAAGTTGATTATAGTTTCTTATAGTTTATCTTGCTGTTATTTTAAAAAAGTGAAACGGTGATATCTAGAGAAATTAATGGTCACATTATTTGGAGATTTACTTTCTCTTGGTTATAGTTATTCGTAAATTAAAAATTAAACGATTAGTAAGGCTTCCCGCGAAAACGTGCCATTTGATTACATATTCCTAAATTTAACTATTAGTACAGATTTCCACATATAAAAAACAAACAAAAAACGAACAAACAACCAATTTCTATGCTAAGTGCCAGTTTTTAAAATATACTTATAAAGTGCTTTTTGATGAAAGCTTTGCTTGAAAAAGTTTTTTTACTCCTGGCTAACGGATGTCGTTGTGTTGGTCGAAGCATCAGGGATGTTTGACTTATCTGTTGCAGTGCGAACTTCAATGTGCTGAAGCTCCGTTGTGGCATCAACAGCAGCCTTTGGCCATCCGACCATTCCTTTGACTTTCTGTCTGAAGTTTTCACTGAGCAGGGCATACACAAAGGGATTGATGGTAGAATTAAATAATACCAGAATGTTGGAAATTGCGATAACAAAAGGACTCAACTGAAAAACCTTGAAGCTATGCAAGGTGTACAGAACCTGGATTGTACCCCAACAGACTCCAAATATGACACTGACAATCACAGCCATTAAGGTGACCCGCTTGCGGACTTTCAGTATATCCTAAGGATTGAAAAGTGTTTACAAAATGAAATATTTCTAAAGAAAAGAAGGAAGGTGATCGAGACCAAGATTTCTGAATTTTTAAACCCCGTAATCATTTATTTAATCTGCATTTCACTAAATAATTCTTAGCAGTTCCTTTATCTTTCTTTTTCTATCGTCGGACGCTATCTTTAAAGCGATAACTGAGTACAGTATCTTACAGAGGCCAGACTTTTAAAATCATTTTACAACAGCAATTATACGGTGGTTTGGAGCCAATTCAGTGGAGACACAAACTTGGGCGCACGCCTCTTAGAAGTCAATCAAAAAATGAAAATAGAAAACGTGACGAACTTCCTCTTTTTACTTTTCGTCAATGCAAATTTCGTCGAGGTGATCGTTTGCCTGAATGATGTCCTGTTTGGTTTTTGGTTAAGAATGACTGGGAATTGATTCGGTCTACTTCTAATCTCGAAAACAGAATAAACTTGAAGGACTAAGGTAATATCTGGCAATCTTGCCGCCGATCTTGGTCATAGACAAAAACAACAAGAAAACAAAACAAAAAAATGTAAAATAAACAAAACAACAACAACATATGAACAATGAAAAAAAAAAGCGAAAAAGGAAGAACAACGTCAGCGACAGCGGGCACAAAAGACAAAACACTTTTGAATCTATTAACTAAGGAAGTCAAATACTTGCGAAAAATATTTGGTGTCACTCGGTTTCAAGAGAACATCAACTGTTTATATTCTCTTGGTGGTGTCTAGACTTAACCAGGAAATTATCAAATTGCTTTCAAATTTACTAAGCAAACTCATTGAGTATCACTTTGACAGTCCCGTTTGTAAAGTATTAACTGTCTGTCCCAGCCCGATACGAATAGTTGCGTCATGGTAGCTACGAAAAATGTTTTCGCAAATAAAAGTTGAAGATCTCAGAACGAGAACAAAAAAAGAGAAAAAAAGAGAAACGGATAAAAATGGGATTACATCATTTATCCCTAAAACGCCCTTCTTTGTTATTACTTACCGTTTGCTGAGATGACACAGGATTGGCAACGATATTTGCTTTAAACCATAACGTGCGCACGACTCTGGAGTACAGTATTACCATCAATAACAAGGCAACGAATACTAGGATGGTGATCCACACTGTATAAGCTGTGTTAGTCCACTCTTCAGGAAAGTTTTCATAGCAGTGACCATCATTGAGCTTTATGTGTATGGTGTTAGGGATGCATACTATAACCGCGCCGACCCAAAAGGCTGTTATCATCACCTGCAATGAAATGGCTCATAATTTGAGAGTTCGAAAAAATATCGTGCGCTGCCATGGGAAAAATATGCACATAGTGCATAGGGGAGCAGGGATGGCGCGGGGAGCAGGGATGGCGCGGGGAGCAGGGATGGCACGGGGAGCAGGACGGATGGCGCAGTGGTGAGAGCACTCGCCTCCCACCACTGTGGCCCGGGTTCGATTCCCGGACCTGGCGTCTCATGTGGGTTGAGTTTGTTGTTGGTTCTCGTCCTTGCTCCGAGGGTTTTTCTCCGGGTCCTCCGGTTTTCCTCCCTCCGCAAAAACCAACATTCCAAATTCCAATTCGATCTGGAACAGTGGACAAGAATAGCCACCCAGTGGATGTCCATTGTTAAATCATTTATTCATTTATTTATTTATTTAATCATAATTCTATCAATAATACTGTTAGTAATATTATTTCTATCAAGAATTATAATAATGATACTAGTGACGATGACGGTTACTGGTAATGATAATCTCAGTGACAATAACAGTGCCACTGGCGATGACAATAATGGCAACAATGGTAACAATAATCAAAATTATAAAAAAATTTTCCAACGTGATTAGTTATCTCACCAGCCCGATTTGAGCACTGACAGGGTAGGGGACGCTTAATATTTTTAACGGAACAATGGACAAGTCATGCACGTTTCATTGGACTGTATGCGTCATGTGCACGTGTGCGCACTGTTGTTGCGCATTTCGCCCAGTTAACTTTTGTTGTTGATTTTTTTGAAAATGTATAGACGATAGCTGGCTTCCATAGTTTTCATTTATTGGTCATAGGACTTTGTGTCGTCCAATTCTGTACGTAATCCTGCTCGTTATTGACAAATCAGAGTCCCACCTCGCGGTCGTTCAATTTTGTCTACCACTCTTATGATTAAAAATATAATTAGACTCTTTTCAGTCCTATGACTCTCTAATTGCATGAACTTCCTGCGTATTCCGTAATTTTCTTGGCCGGCACCCATGGGACTTGCCGATAATCTTAAAATGCATCTTCGTTCATAAGGTTTCGTAGGTACATTATCCAACTAAGGAGGTTACAAAGAACAGGTGCGCGAGGCCAAGAAAAGAAATCCACAGGATATGAAACATTGGTGGCAATCTCATTTAGTAGAGTCCACTTTGCTTACGGTCACTTCTAACTGTTTTGCTCATGAAAGTGATCTAGATTCCAAGGGACATTCGGGCTAAGATTACACTTGACATAGCTGTATAGCCGATTTGGTGATCTTTCTGGGTTCCCAACTTTCAATGCAGAAAAACCGAGTCAGAACAAACCTTTAGTGTCCGTTTCGAGAGATTCCATTTCATGCCTTGCGGATCATGGACTGCAAAATATCTTTCGAAGGCAATTGCAACCAGAGTGAATATCGCACATATTGCTGCATACCACGCGAAAGCTCCACCAGTTATCACTCGGCATAAAACTGTACCAGCCACCCCCTCTGGGTGCTTTATATTGAGACTCACAATAAGTTTAGGAGTAATAAGCAATGCAAAGACACCATCCGCCACAGCAAGGTTAAAAAGGAGAATATGAATGGGGGCCCTGCGACGAGTAAAATATGCAAAGGCATGATTAGTATTGACAAGAGGGTATTGACTTCGCTTATTAAGTTGGCTTCGTGTTTGTTTAGTTCTAAAACTTTGCAAAGTTCCCGTGGGGTATAAAACCTCAGACTTTTTGCCCTTGTGTTCAATTACCAAGGTACAGAAGTTCAAATCATCTGATGGACTCAGATATTCCCCCTGTCCCATGCTCGTGAAAACAAGACAAAACATCTATCTTTACTTTTTTTTACCGAGCTGAAACATTTACCATCTTTCACATACTATTTTAGATAAAACTTTTAACTCTGAGAATAATCGGTCTGATCTTGACCTCAAGAAGCAGCGCCTACTGGAGAGGCGTCTTTAAAATAGATATTCCTTAATGGAGATGTTTTACTGTGTGCAACTTTTGAATATACCTGAGATTTCTATTTTTCCATATTATCGCACAAACAAGAGAATTGCCCACGATATCCACTGAGCAGAGTATGAGGAGGATTGTTGTTACGATTATCCCAACTGCCATGACTCACGCGTAGTTTTGTAACTACAAACAAAAAAACACACAAACAAGAGACAGCGTCAAGTTATTTTGCATACTGTAGTTTAAATGGTCTCATGTCAGACAAAAATGAGCCAAGATACAATTTTTGTCTTGATCACTGCAATTCTTGTCCTTCAAAGATCTCAAGAGAGAGGACGACACAAGAGTAAACCAAACCGTTCATGTCATGGTGTTGGTTTGCTTCAATACTTTCAGAGCCAAGGTTTTCTGTAGGACCAAGCCCAATTCTGTTATTGTTATTCCACTTCGATAGTAACTACTTTTATAGCGGTTATCCCCCCTTCCCCACAAACGCTCTACTTCTGCGTGGAGAGGAACTCCAAGAATACATTACGATGACGTAGCCAGGTTTTTTAAGTTTATGCCAAATAAGTTATTCAGCTAGTATACTGTAAAGTTTATGGGTTGGTACGCTAATGTAAGTTAAAGTAATTTTAGAAAAATATCTGACAAAATGGTTGTCATGACAATCTCTTACGATTAAATTTTATAAAATCAGCCAAAAAATGTACATATAAAGCACGCAGTTCTGATATTGATTTTATTACAAACTAAACCCAATAACTTTTTTCAGTAGACGCATATTCTCTTGCCAATATCTCAAGAAGAAAAACACTTTCCAAATTATGAAATTTAAGTGCCGATAACTCAAAATCAAACCCTTGATTAATATGTCAGATTTTTATTTCCATTCAGACACTGCATTTTCTTAAATTTTTTTCCAAAACATCTTGAGTCAACTGCATCGATCTCTTTGCACTACCTTACATCTCATTACTTGGTCAATAAGTAAAAAGTTTTACGCTACTTCTGGTCCAAGACAGGGAGCAACAGTTCGAAACAGCAAAATAAACAACCATTTTTCTCCCGTCCCCGAAATACTACAAAGGCCTTTTATAAATGCCCTGTATAACGTGCTCCAATTGATATTACAAACTAATAGTTACCTTTTCCTGCATATATATATATATTTCTTTTCTTTCGCTATGCCTTTTTCTCAACAGTTCGATGTACCGAGTCTCAGCTATTCACAATAGATGGCTGTAAAAACGAAATTTCGAACTGCAAAGACAAGAGTCATGCCGAGGTGAAAAATATTGATTAGAGCTCAAACTCTAAGTTCTGCAAAATAATTGTATCCTCACTTGCTACCCCACGTGAACAACTCACCTGATGTAATACATTCACAAACACTTGGGCGTATTTTAGTTGTCAGGATCTTTTCTGTTCCGTTCCAGTGTTTAGTATCGTTGAAACTCTTGGTCATTCATTCAGTCAAAGTAAACAAGCTGAAGTTACTTCTACTGTTTTTATGTCATTTTCTCCTATACTTCTCAGCGACGGTGTTAGACAGAGTCTGATAACTTTCCAAAAAGGAAAGGACACTTAATTACGTTCAAGATGTTCAATTTTTAGAGTCTTTTTGCTGAATTTGGGTGAATTATCAGAGCACAAAAGAAACAACTTCAAGAACCAAGATGCTGCTCACGTAAACTTCACCCTTCTTGCAGAAACGTGTGAAGTTGATTTGTGTCTCAAGCAATTAGTTTACCAGGCTTATATATGCATTGTGCAGCGGTTTTCTAGCTTCGAAAAACAACCTATATTACTTCAGCGTCACTGGAGAGCATTGCTTCCTTTCGAAGTAGGGCCGCTATATCCACTAGTGCGTCTCTTGAATTAATTTTGCTGACAGGCGGTCGGATAGGGTAGTTCTCGATAGCCCTATATGCGTCATACTTTGCCTAAAAGATTTGTAAAGCTTCAACTTCTTTTGATAGCAGAAACATTAAAAGGAATCTCACAGTGCAAAAGAAGTAAACGTTAATTGCAAACCAGCAGTGCATAGTTTTCCCGACATAAATGTTGACGTGAGTGTGACCCACATGCACGCTGCAGGTATTTACATCGGAGCAAAGGTCAGCGCCCCAAGCCGACTTTATTTCGATTTGAAGAGACATTTTATTGCTGACCAAAACTGCATAATTCCTTCATTAAGGTTTCGACAAGATGTTTTCCTTGTATAGTTCACCCAGATATTGTTATTAGTTACAAAAATAATACCACATCTCAGTGTTTAGTCGGTCTCAATTCTAAATAAACTATTAGTTAGATTGGTATTGATGTAATATCTCCAGTGATCTATTTCTGATCGACTGCTCATGAATATCAATTCCAAGCTGGGAATCACGTCCGCTCGACAACAAAACCTTGTTATGTATTTTTTTATTCTTTATTTTTTGAAATTCACTTGCCGAGCTTAAGTTATTACAATACTTGCAAAGTTTAAATTGAGAGAAATCGACCATTCCCAAATTTGATGAACTTGGACTCATTTGAGAATTCAGTCATTTCTGAGAGTAGCTTCTTGCGTAAACTAATAACAAACAGGTTTGACGCATTCACTGAAATTTGTGGCAGTCTCATCATCTTGGGTTCTATTGAATCAATTGAGAAAGCCTGATATGTTAAAACAACGTGTTCCAATCCGCAAATAATTGAAATCAAGATGTGGTGTAAACCATTCACTTCACTTTGATATATCTGGGGGTAAATCGTATGATTCATGAAACGCGAAAAGGTGAGATGAGAAAATATACATAATTGGTCTCAGATAATAACTCTCAGCTAGAATTAGAGCTAGAATTGTTAGATATAGCATTGTTAAAGCAAGATAAAGACATCAGACATGGGATATAATTCACAATATTACTTGGCACGTTACTATTTTTGGATGTCTTTAATCGGAAGAATATAAGAACCTGTACAAGGACTTCGGTGGGAGAGGCGGAACATAATTTTGAGTTGAAATAGAGCAAAAATGATAAATTTACACAGACCTCTTTCCCCTTTTAGAAACATTTTGGTCTTTCTTACCGGGTCAGCAAATTGATACCGGGAAATAAATTTAATCTTGTTTCCAGGTGTCTGTAACAAAAAAACGAGCTCGGTAACCGCTATTCTTGATCATTAAAGTTCCAATGAGCATATCAGATTTATCTATATTTGTACGTAAAATCACCATTCGAATCCAAGTAGAATCAATATTACATAGTTACTACCGTACAGTGAAAATATGACTCTCCTCCAGAAGTTGATATTGATTATAATGATTTTTATCTGCTCCAATGATACCAGCTTTCATACGATGTGTGAGGGAAAAAGTGCAAAGAACTAACTTTAGCAGGAAAAATCTTGGAGTAATACTCAATGTTGAATTTTTTTGTTTGTTTTTTTGTTTTATTTATGCGGTTATAACTGTTATTTTTGCTTTAGTAAAATTCTGTGTGGACGGACTGACTGAGAACATTGTAAACATCATCATCGAACATCGGAACATCTCGGGCTTTTGTGGTTTGATGGTTATGGGCCAACCCAAGGGAAATGATTAAGCATCCCACAGAGTTCCGAAAAATACAGTCAAAGAATAGTTAGCATCAATATTGTATACGTTGCTCGGTAACACTGATTAACAAAGATTGAGACCGATATTTTGTTTGTCGCTGAAGGAATAAGTTCAACAGTATGCCAGTGTACTATGAAAATCACCGGAATGGTTAATTGCTTGCTCAAAATTCAGCCTTGGGGGTGTGTACTTTTGTACCACATGACCAGTTTTAAGGAAAGTGATTACCCACTAAGGGTCACGTGGTACAGAAACTAGACAAAATCTTAAAAGGTCATTTCAACAGCAGATCCAGCGAAAAATATAAGGGGGGCCTTGATTGAAATTATCGGCCTGACTTTGATTATTTGTATTTGTATTTATTTTTTAGCTAAAGGGGAGGGGGGGGGGGCAGTGCATCCACCCTTGCATTTTACCACTCTAGGAATTTTTGCCGTAGTACTTCACTTAATCCCGTGACTTTGTAGTAAAATAAATAAATAAGAAAAATACCTCGCAATTTCTTCGAAGCATTTGCATGGCTATTTCATCTATAAAAGGAAGCCCAAGTTCACGCAGATATGAGTCTAGTTTGCAAATATTATGCTCTCTTGAAGACGTAAGTTATAATTATAAGGAATCTCATGTTCAAACAGTTATGCGTCTAGTTTATTATTAAATACGCCAAACGATTCCCAGATCTTCTAAGTTGAATTATTATATCAACTGTGTAAAAAGTTGGAAACAAGCATTTTGTCTCTATGTTTAAGGCATTTTGTGTTTCTCAAGGACGAAGGTTGAAATATAATACTAAAGCTAGTCGTTATACGGCTTTGTTTTCAGTCTTGTAATAGACCGATTTCTTTTTTTAAGCTCGATGCTGTAACCTTATTCTAACTCCTAGATATACAGTATCTCGGTTTTAGTTGTGTCACTCAAATTTATTTTCTATGAAGATCTGCACACTTGAAACTAAAGAAATGACGACAAGACCATACAAATTTGATTGATATAAAATTAAAAATTTTATTAAAGAGAACCGCGAGATAACGCAGGTATGCGTCTAGTTATAATAATAATAATGATGATAATAATAATGATAATAATAATAATATTAACAAATATAATAATAATAATAATAATAATAATGAATAATAATGGCGGCGAGTAGTGGAGACGGGTTCTAGCGGCTCCGTTAGTAATCTTGTTTTTCGCAAAAGCAAGCCAAGTTTAGAGCGCTATTTTACATCCGGACAAGTGCGTATGCACTTTGGAAATTGTCAAACCGAACAGGGGAGATATTTGGTGTCTCTAAACGCAAGAAAATCAGTCAAAGTCTCAAACTTTACAATTTCAATAATGTTAACTGACGACAATATGGAAGATAACTTACAACATCCTCCACGCAAACATAGGCTCAAATGGACGGACGAAATGAATTCAACATTACTCGATTGTAAAAGGAAAGCCCAACAAATGGTTAAATCTAATGCGCCCGAAGTTATGGATGGAAATCGTAAGAAAGGTTACATGGAAGTGATGAAGGAACTCTGGGATCAACAAGGCTATGAACATCTCGCAATACCCAGAAACAATCTACGAAATCAAGCTGCCCGATTAGAGAAATTGCTTGGCAACGCAATGAACAATATCATGGATAAGGTTGGACAACGGCAGAGGAGCGTAATCGAAAGAAATTTTGCTGAAAAGAATGAAAGCATTGACAATATTTCGAATGACCAAAATGCTAATAAGCCTGAACAAGGAAACAATTTGCATATCGACCAAGATACAACTCCACTGGGACCGACACAAAGACAACTAAGTGATGAGGCACGCGCACTGATAGAAAAGTCGTCGCAAATGTTTGATCTAGTGCATATCGATCCAAGTAACTATGAAAATCGGGAAATCGACACCAGAACTAAAGAAAAACCAACGAAGAAAGACATTGAAAACATCAACATCGCCGTGAATGAAATAATTAATCAACATAATGTATCACCTACTGAAGACCCATTTATTTATTTATGGATGGTTAATTGTGCACTTTATTCAACCACAGCCGCTTTTCTACTGTTAAAACGATGGAAAAGATCTACTGTACAAAGCGCACCGAGGAAACAAAACTCCGAAGGAAAAAAGAAAGAATTTCAGGGCAAAGCTAGAGACTTAAGGAAGAAAATATCTATCGCCAAGGCGGAGTTAGAAAGGCTAAGAGAAAACAGAAAATTGACCAAGCAACGGAAACGGAATAGATCAACCCTACTAGAAGAATGTAAAGTAATCTCATCGGATGAACTTGTCAACTACATAGAAAAGAAAAAATCGCAGCTGAGAAAGTTAAAGGCAAAGTACCTTAGAGAAAAGAAACAACATGAAGCAAGATCACTGAACAACCAATTCAAGCAAGATGCAGGACAGGTCTATGCAAAGTTTACAGAGATGATGGATGATAGACAAGATCGCCCTACATACCAAAGAGTTGGCAAAAAAATTAATCCTGATAGTAACACTAACACGAGAATATCGAAGAAGCGAGCAGATTCTGGCAGAGCTTGTGGGAGAAGAAAGGATCTGGTAACGAGAAAACTGAATGGCTGCTGGATATGAAAGAAGCTATCGCTGAACAAGTACCAACTACCGTAGAACGAGAGTGGAATTTAGAAACCCCACTGGCCGTCAAGACTTTACTCAAGAAACGAAACTTCAGCGCACCTGGCCCAGACAGATTGGTTAACTTCTGGTGGAAGCGCGCTACTTCACTACATGAGGGGGTTACCCGTTCATTTGAATCCATCTCTAAATACAACGAAGACTTTCCACTATGGTTCTCGGAGGGTAAAATACGCTTAATACCTAAAACAGGAGGCTTTTCAAGTGAAAACCAAAGACCCATAACCTGTCTGAATAACATCTATAAGTGGTTTACCTCATGCCTCCAGATCCCGTTGGATAAACACCTGAATAACTATGATCTTATGGAAGGCGAACAGAGGGGAGCGAAGTCTGGCTGTAGCGGAACGACTGACAACCTTATGATTGGTAGGATGGTCACGCGGGACTGTCATCGAGGTAAACGCAATTTAAGCATGGCATGGGTTGATGTTCGGAAAGCGTATGATTCTGTTGATCATAACTG